GGGAGCAGTTTCCAGCAGCTGCTGTGACCAAGCTATTGTGCTATCAGTTAACTGTTTAACTGATATGATTAGAGGAGATTAAACAGACAATTTTTTAAATGATATTTACATCCCTAATCCAAACCCATCTCTCACACACCGCCACCTACAGTAGGGATAGAAGCCTGTCCTGGCTCACTAGCCCTGTAATCATAGTACAGACAGTCAAACAGCTGGAGGAAGAAGCCATTCAATCTTTGTGGGTTTCTCAAAGCTGCATAGATTGAATTGATAAGGAACTGAACTGCCATCCAGTTTTCAGTTTGGAAAAGTAGGCAGAAACTTTCATTAACTCAGGCCAGAAGGCAGAGTCGTGCTGGAACATACCTCCCAGCCTGCAGGCCAAGCTGAGGCTAGTGGAGCATATGTTGCCAAACCCCTGCTTTCCCGCCACCTCCTGCAGGGAGGGGAAGTAGCACTGGTCCAGGTGCCAAGCTAGTGTCTGCTCCCCTCCCCTGCTGGCTTGGATTGGGCCCACTGCCCCACTCCCAGCACCCCAGATCCAAGCTTACTTACCACCTTGCTGACTGCTCCCTGATTACCTGAGACTTCCCAGGGCTCTGTTCCAGGGGGCAGGCAGAGAAGGAAGGGTTAAACCACCTGCCCAGCTGGCCTGAGCAGACCCTGGCAGTTTAACCCTTCCCTGCCTGCTCTCTGAGACAGACAGTGTGGGCAGCCACAGGTATCGGGGGTTGGGGGAAAGTCAGTGGGGATCGGGGGGTGATGGGGAGGGTGGGAGGAAGCAGTGGACCTGATCCAGGCCAGCAGGAGAGCAAGGCAGATCCCAGCTCAGCACTGGGATTGGGGCTTCTTCCTCCTCCCCCTGTTGGTCAGAAACTGGCAGGGGGCATTGATCAGCAGCCAGCCTGGTGCCCCTGAAGCTGGTCAGACCCACATGAGGGGCAGGGAGGACCAGGTCTAGGGTGGGGGAACCCCCCATACATGGGGCGCCCCCCATGTGTGCAGACCCCAGCCCAGGGTAGTACCCCCAGGACAGGAGAGTGCTTCCCCCCAGCACCTCAGTGGCTCTCACTAGCCCAGCTGCAGGAAGGGGCAACCCTCACAGATAATTGGGGATGAGGACTGGTTGTGGGGGCTCTGTTCCTGCACCTACCCTGCAGCCCCTGCCAGGCTGACAGTACAGGCAGGATGCAGGCTAGGGACCAGAGGCTTTGCTGGAGGTGCGGCCAACCCTGCTTGACTGGAGCAGACAGCTTGGGCCAAGGCTAGCCCACACATCCTGGGAAGGGAGGCAGTTTGCAGGAGAGGTGCAAAGTATCCTGGGATGCTGGGGGACTGAGAGTTGGATTGTGAGTTAACTTGAGTTGAGAGGGGATCTGGGACAGAAGTGTGATAGACCAGTTTAACCTAAATCAGTTACATTTGAGACTACATTAATCCATGTTTATCTTAAATTGGTTTTGGCCATTTTGAAACCTGTTTATGTGCACTGAACTTCTACTGTGTTACAGACTTGAACCAGTTTACATTCACTTACACATGTTTACATGTCATTTCTGTCCTTAACCGTAGTGGCAACCCACAGTTATAGCTCTTAGTCTGGCTCTCTAAGTTGTATGGGTGAGGGACAGTCAGAGAAGGTTTTCAGCATTTGGATGCGACTGCTCCAAACTTGAACTAGCACTAATACTGATCAACATCTGAGCAGCTCAAAGTGCAATGTGTAACAAAGCCTATACATGCTGAAAAGGGTAGATTTAACACGTGCACAATTTGTACTGAGGGAAAAAAGTTCCTCCTTTTATCATACGACAGGCAATAAGAATCCTGGACTTAATATCAAGAGACAAGTTGTTAAGTTCTGAGTTCAGAGTTTGTCTTACAAATATACCGCATAAAATATTTCTGGAGAAAGAGAGAAAATGCATGCTATTTGTGCCTACATGTCTCTAAATTTCCATTTCCATTAAAGGAATTATGTGTATCCTTATCCTCTCAACCTCATCTGGTATGGCCATGATATTGTTGAGTCAGGAAGTAATATCTTGTGCCTATAAAGCACCAGACATTAGATCTGAGGAAAACTGACATATGTCCATGGGGAAGGTCCCTGTCCAACTTGAATTCCCTGTGAAAGGCACAAATAAAGAAAAAAACCAAACAACCCTTCCCCTCCCCCTCCCCCTCCCCCAAAAAAGCCCACCATAAAACAATGACAGACCATGGAGAGGAGAGCATATGCAAATGATTTTCAGACTATAGTGTTTTACTGCTCTCTGTTATTGTTTGGTTCATCAGCAAGTCATTGAAGTCCAAAAAAGCTTTGGCAGCCTTTCCAAAAGGGGAGGTAGATGAGTTCTGTGACTGGGCTGGAAGGCAATTTTCTGTCTCTAAAATTTTAGAAATACATACTTATTATGAACTGCCCCATCCCCCCCAAATTTGACAGTGCTGTCAATGGAGCTGTTTGTCCCTACACATTAAGAAAAAGGGGAAAATCTCAACTTGGAAGTTGTAGCATGATGAATAGAACTGAAGAAAGTTGATGAAGTTCAACAAGCTCTGAAGCATAAGTATGTGACACAGGCCTCTCAGCAGGTTTAATAAAGATATCTTTCCTACCACTCTGCCTGCCTGCCTGCCTTCTTAGTACCTCACTTATTATGAAACATATGTGAGAAGGTTTTAACATCAGATAGTATGGAAAGTTGCTGTAACCTTACTTACGAATAAGTGCTGATAAGGACTACTGAATGATAAAGCTATCCGGGAAATAATTACCAAAGACAATAACTAAGAAAATGCAATAAGTGTTTTCTTACATGCAAATTAGGTAGAATTTCAAGCGTATACAAAGCCAGTTTGCCCAAAGCAGCTGTTCACAGCACACACCTCTATTTGAAGCTATAATTTAAAAGTATTTTCCTATAAATGGAATATATAGGCGGCTAGAATAATGAAACAATTAATAAATGATCAACAGTTTGCTACAGGTAAACTCTTAACCTTTCAACCTTTTACTTATATGGTTAGCTGCTTCTCAGGTACTTTTTCATGGTAAATGTTTGCAGACTCACACTCTGTCTTGGATCTTTGAGGCCTTTTGCTTTTTACCATGATGACATTTTATTATAAAAGTGTAGTTTCATGCAGGCAACAAAACATAGCTAAAATAAAAAGATAGGCTTTAAAATATTTATATATAAAGAGATACATCATTTAAACTTGCCTATTTATCTGCCTTATTTCACTTTTGGAGACTGCCTAAAACTTTAGGGACAATACTGAAAAACACAGGCTTTTCTCTCTCCATATAAAGCAATGCTCATTTATTTATTTTAATTTTCCGCTGAAGTGACAAATATCCGGACTTGACAGACGATCTACAGCCTAAGCAGAAGTGAACAGGAACTGCAGTACTCAACACAAAATCAGATTCAAGATGTGTCATGTTGAGCATCCAAAAACGGAGGGAGAAAAAGGAGCGACTGCTTTTGAAAATATGAATCATAATCATCTCCCCTTTTGTAAAATGGAGAATGACACCTATCTCCAGCTACACAAGAGAAGTAGAAGGATAGCAGCATTAACATTTGTGACACTTTCAGATCCTGTGGTGATGGTACCAAAGAAAAAACAATGAACAAATAAGTAAGATGTACATATCACAGCCAACAGCTCTATGGGCATTTCCTGTCACAGTGGCAAAATTAAGTTTTTTCAGTGCTGTAATATGCCTTCTAAATCCTCTAGGAAATATATGGTTCAGCTCACTCATTGCAGGTTCTTAGAATCGCTCCGTAACTATCTGAACTCTAAGCATCTATTCCTTGCTGAATCTGTAAAATCTTTTTCTTAGGTAATGACTGTTGACTGACTTTTCCCCCTTAAACTGAACCTCATTTGTTTATATCAAACTTTCCCCTAGGAATCCTAGAACCTTAACATTTGAAGATGAGGTGATCAGTGTGTTATTACCCATATTTTACAAACACAATTGCATTTGGAACATCTTATAAAAAGAGAGCACTATTTGAACGTGTGGATCTTTATTATTTTACGTGGAACTTGAAGATTTGGGAAAGAAATAAAAATTTCAATTTCAATTAAAAAATCCAAGCAGTGTAAAGACAACAAAGGAAATGGGCTAATTACTGGCATGGTACAAACTACAGTTAAAAAGCAGGCTGCCCCTTGCTTAGCTCCTCTGTCTTACAGCCTATGCTTTTACAGTGCCTAGCATAATGAGGCACAGAATTTGCTAGGACATCTACATAGCATTTGAATACAAATAATAAAAAAGGAGGGAGAACAAAGCATATATTGGTAAAATTCCTTAGTCAACAGTAGAAGAACAGTTGGGAAAAACTGCCTGCACTCCAAAATTTGGGCAACTGTAATAAAGAAGTAATATATCATTGAAAATAATAACAACTTTTAAGCTACACGGAAATTAGAAGAATTGTGATGCATGGTTCACTGTAATAACTATTCTGTTTTGCAAAGCAAGGATATGAACATAGTGTAATAATATTCTCCATGGCCTAAATCTACCATGTCAGGGTGACTTTTAGTTAGCTGGAAAGGCTACAACTTAATTAATTAAGAAATGTACCTAGAACTGGGATAAAGATAATTTAATATTATTTTTGTATTACTCTTTCAGGCAGCATGCCAGGTGCTGAAGCAGTATTGCACTACTGTCAGTCTTTAAAAAATAATTAAAAACCAGTGTGACTGAATCCTGGGCACTTTTTTTTGGTAATGGTATGCTTTTATATTAATTAAATTAAAAATATGCCTCACAATACAGCTCTCAGACTGAACTGTTACATAATAACACCTGAATGAGCTGCATTAAAAGAAAGGGTTCAAGAAATTTTGCTTGAAAAACAGAAAGAAGCATTGTTCTTTTCTTCTTCATCATACCATAAAAGGTAAAAAAAACCCCAAAAACCAAAGCATCAAGTAAATGTATAGATTGTTTGGAAACAACATACCTATTAGCTCCTTATTTCTGACATCTAAGGCCATGTTTCGTAAAGCTGTAGCAACTGCACATACCACCCGGTCGTTGTCTATTCGAAGCAGTTCCACCAGGATCGGCAGGCCTTTCTCTTTGCGGACAGCAGCACGGATATACACTGACCACTGTAAAGAGATATTATGTGAGGGACACTGAAGTAAAGAATGGAGAACCCTATTATAGAAACTGAGGGGAGTGTGGTAATGTGTAAAAAGGAGTGGGGAGTTAAGCAGTATTTGGCTGTAGACTCCAAAGTGAAAGGAAACATTTCTGTTTATGATGCCGTGCGACTCCTTGACCCAGGAAACCATATTGACTTCTACTGGTGACAGAAAAATGAGATTATGAATTGACTTTAATTCTTACACACCTGAGTTTGCAGGCCAACGGCTTGGCTTCATTACACCCTAAACCAGTCTTGGATGATGACTGTCTGTGGCTAAAGTTATTTTATATTCCAAAATTTGTTTACAAGGTCAGCATAATTCCTGGCTCTCAACCTGAGAGATACTAGACCCAAATTCATGAAGGTGCTTCATTATTCCTTTTGTAGCAGGAAAATTGTTTAGGAGGGAAAGTGAGGACAGAGTTACACAACTGGATTTGTTATTTAATTGTAACCGTCTAATGCTGAAGTCCCTGTGTGCAGAAAATCTCCATTGCTTGAAATAAGGAATAATCTCCACGGGAAGACTATCAGATCGAAGTTGTCAACAGGGCAAAATATGGGGATTTTGATCTGAATACATCTACTTCACAAGATGCTGAGAGTGATAGATATTTTTACTCAACTTACAATATGGATGAGCCCTTGACTTCAGTTTTTGAAGGTGAACAGTTTTTACAAAAAGTACAAAATCTTACCAGGGCAGATAGCAATGAAGCAGTGTGTGAAATGCCCCTGAAGCAATTGCAGAATGTGATAACCAAGTGTGTGAAGCTGAATGGCATCAGTGTGAGACAATCTGAGGAAAAGGCTATCTGGCTTTGACTGAGCAAGTTGTGCATTTTCCATGTGAAATGGTTGTGTGGGCTGGCTGAGAGTGGCAGCTGCTGTCTGTGTGCTGCCGTGTTTTTAAGTCCTAGTTTCCCTCTGGCTGTGTGCCTAAACCTAGGGTGATAAAAGCTGTGCTTAAGATTTACACTGATGAAATAAGTGAGATCAGAATCACGATCCTTGTATGTATTTGATTATGTGATTATCAACATTCTTAACCTAAAATCTGAGAGCCACTGCTAAGCAGTCATAATGCTCACAGAAATCACCAGAATCCAGTGGGAGCTGCAGATACTCAAGACCTCTCAGATTTAGGCTCCTTTTACTTCATGATGAGCAATAATTCTGGGTTTTGTCATACAAAGAGATGGCATTATGCCTTATTTCAATTTCATCATCTGAAAGAATAATGCATTGTACACAACATGGAAGGTATGGGTGCAAGGCATGTGTTGGACTGGTGATCATGTCTGGTAGGAGAATGTTAATAAGCAATTGAGGAGAAGCACATGACAGAGGCTTATAGATTTTATTAAGCAAAAATGGAGACCAGTGAATATGTTTACTCATTTTTTGGAATAACAGAAATATCCAGTACACAGTGGCATGCATTGTGCGGCTGACACAGAGTGTGGCTGAGCATGTTGTCTGCTGGCTCTCCCTTCATTTCATGGTCATGGTCATGGTCCTAACTTTTGAAGCAATTCAGGGCCTACTGTCTGCCTAAGTGATTGTCTCTCTTCAGCCTACAGCTGGACTCAGGATGGATTTTGCTGCTGCCAGAGCCAACAGTGAGACTTTTGGGAGATGAAGAAAAGGTATTCTTGAAATAAAAAATAAAGCCCTCATCTGTGAAACTCTTTAAAGCACTGGAGATTAAAATGAGCTGTACTCCTGACATTGTCAGGTCACACTACAAAGCCCTTTCCTTTTTCACAAGCCTTGTATTATTAACAGTCATGCCAGGATAGCTCAGCTATATCTCTCCTGAAATCAAAGGAAAATAGAAAGGAAAATAAAACCCAATTAAATAAAAGACAGGAGGGATATATAGCAGTATCTTGTGGACAGTGACACTAGGTTTAGTCTCTGCGGTATTGCAATATAGTACATATGTATATATACGTGTGTGTGTGTGTGTGTGTGTGTACACACACTGACAGACACGTAGTACCACACAGTACCCATATAAGGGGTACATTAGATCACCTCATGTTTGCACACTGTCTGGATCGCTACACAAAATTGACTGGAGACTCTGACTATGGATATGAATATCAAATTAATATGATGACAATGAGAAGACAGATACACACACAGGCAAGGATTTGACTGACCCCATATTAAATACCTATATTTGTTCTAGGTTACATAACTCAGGAGAAAGTAAAAGAATGGAAAGGAAACAGCATGTAAGGAATGTTATTCAATGGCTTCCCTTCAATTACCATAGATAACACAAAATCTGTTGACCAGACAAAGTCTTTAGCCTTTGTTGCAGACAAAAGCAATACTGGTTAAAATAACTTTTCTAGTCAGGCTAAAGAAATGTGGGGTTCTTAGTATCACTGAGCACAGTAATGTAACATGGCTGAAATGTAAATTTGTTAGGCAAGGGCGGTTTATCTGCAATGAAGCAATGGTGGCTGTAACATAAGAGAAAATAAACAAGCAGCAGCAGGAATCTTGTTAGATCTTATTTTATTTTTCTCCTAGTCTGTTCTCTAGAACCATGTCATGGGATAAACTTTAATGAACATTTTACCAGATAAGAAACCAAAATTAACCTCAAAGATCAGTAACTTCCAATTAAAAGTGTCCTGGAAAAATAACCTCTTTCTAAAAGAGTACTAGACTTAATAAATATTGTAAATATCCAAAACTGACAATTCTGAACTTTTTAAATAGCCAAGTATTTACCTGTCAGTATTTACGTGCATTACCTGACTAATGCACTGTCAGCTGCAGCTATCTGTAGCTAAAATGATCGGTCCTTACAACTTTAACTTCCCCCCTCCTCCCCCCACCTCTCAGCTCTGTATTTCCTATGCATCTCCAGGGGAGGGTAGGGGGGTGTCCTGTGTGTCTACTATGACTAAGAGGTCGGTGTCAGACTGAGAGTTCAGGTTAGCAGTGAGACTGTTCTGTGGCTGTAGTGAATTTGTCTGCTGTAAGTGAAGAATCAAGCTAGTAAAAAGTTGCTAGTCTCTGTAAGGATATTTCTCATATCTCTTGCTTGAATAAGGATTGTGTCAAGATTTTCTAATTAAATGGCCTTATGTGCATTTAATCAGTGATAAAAGAAATCCAAAATCATGTTATCAATTATCTATTGCATTGTAAAGGGCAACAAAAAGTACTCAACTATATCATCTGTAATAAAGATGGTCACTTTGAATGTGTTTGGTCAGTGAATTGTCCATGGAAATCACAATTCTTTAAAGAGACCTAAGGTGGAAACACCTTTACAGGGGCATAAAGTGAAAGTAAACAGATGTCCATATCCTTTGTCATTCCACAGATGTGGTCCTGACAAAAGGTAGAATAATTTGTCCGCTTTCCTGTGGCAGACAACTATTTTCTTTATGATGGGAGAGCGCAAGCAGCCTGAATCTGCCCATGCTCTTCAACTGCCTCAAGCAGGTGCTCTTAGGGCTTGAGGGGTTCAGTCATGTGCCCTAGGAATTCCTGCACAGGGTTGGGCATCCCGAGCCTCAGGAATACCTACCTGACTTTCTCCACGTCCAGAGATATGCCCTGGCAATCTCTGGGGACACATCTCTGTAAGCAGGGAAAAAGTTGCTCATTTTCCTGGCACAGCAGATCTGCTTCATTTGGTAACACCTATTTTTTGCACTAGAGTTGCATAAGCTTTTTGCTTAGTTTGTTTTTTGGCATCCATTCCAAAACTCAAATTCCAAATGAAATAGGGAGTAAAAAGAATTGTTTTTTTAAAAAAAAAATCCAGTGAAAGCTGATGACATTAAAGTAGGAGCATTTTGGAGTAACAGAATATGAAAACTGGTAAATATTTTCCACCTCAAGGGGAGTATCTGACATATTAGACTTTAATACAAGTAAGGCACTAATTAATTAGCATTACAAACATAGATAATTTAAGTACAAATTGTTTTTTAAAGCATTAATTTTGCTGTATACATATATTTTTTCTCAAGTAAGCTACCTTTCCTGTAGCACTGGTGAGAACTCTGATTTAGAAAAAGTTCACAGACTTGTCATTGTGATTTATCTGCTATCGTCACATCCATATTTTCAAGTCATACACCTTGGGCTGGAAATACAGAGTTGTCTATTAATCGTATGAACAATCTCTGGAGAAGCAGAAATAAGAAGCTTCATTTTGAAAGCAGTGAGAACTGTCTATGTCTCTTT